CGAAAGGAAGTCGTGAATAAAACTATTGAAGTCAAAGAAGACTTGAACGTCTCTGATACACTACAGAACTAGTAAGATAATGATGAGACTAATATTTACCATATAAAGTTTAAGAGGAATCAGCAACAGATACATAGGTTTGATCCAGAAATCCTGAGTAGTGTTTGAACTTGAACACCGAATTGTGTTTTTGTGGAATCGGGTACACAGATCAGCTAATGGTAAGTAATCAGTGCTGCCCATAGATAACCACATACCACAACACTGTGTTACAAATGCATTGCCAACCTTTTGAGTTTTGGTCATGGCACCACTTCAGTTGAGCTAAGACATGGTATCAGAGCTTGGCAGTTCTATTGGTATAACTGTTAATAAAAATTATAATATAGTACCTACATAATATCTATGTATAATCATGTTTTATCAACAGACAAAATAATGGTTTACTCGACAATGTTAAAAGAGTGAACATAAATTCAAAGCATGAAGATTTATACTGAGATGACATTGTCAGATAACAAAGAGACAATAGAATAGATCACCTTGCAGTTATTATACAGAGAAACTTTAGATAAAATGTTTTATCTAACTATTCTAGATCACAGGGGAAAGTCAGTCTGCATTGTAAAATGTACCACAATTACACACTTTTACCTCTGCAATAAATATGGCCAGTAGAATATTTCAATACCATCAGGAGACAACTGATTGTAGTAGCTGGATATAAATAGGAAAATATATTCAATTGTTTACCTTGTATCTATGTATGAAACCAAGATAGTTTTTATTAGTAACCTATCCCATTTTTGCTCGAGTGTCTGTCTTCAGTTTCCCAGTGAAATTGTATTTTTGTCATACCAATTTTGTCTTGACAATAACAAAAAGAAATTACTTAATTTATTTGTTATATGTTTATTAGTTAAGGTAGATAGGTACAAATATCTTTATCCAGATTCTCGACTAGATTAAAGAATAGGTTTTTATAACTAAGCAGCTGGATTCTTAGTGTGATCTCTTAACTATCACAGAAATCAAAAATACATATATTTATTGATGTGTAAATGTCACAAATAATAACATTATGTTTGTAAAACTATTGAATTATCAGTCAGCTCACCACTTATAAAAAAAAGTACTGGCTGATTTTATTAAAAAAGGTCAGGGTTGACAAAGCAATGATTCAATTTTATAGCTTATACATATTTTTTGCTACATTAACAAAATAATTAATAGGTATACTTTTTGCTAGGTCTGTTTTTGCAAATCATTATGACTACCATATACGAAACCAGTTTTGTTTCATTAAAATATTGATAGACCTAGTATGTTGACAATAATTTTAAATGTGTGTTAATAAATAATAATGTTTACGATGTTGTTTTCTATGTGCATGTTATGAATAGCTGACATAGGAACAGATAAGATGACCCATACTTATCAGTGCCATGTGAACTTTGAACTTTAATAAAAGGCTTTTTCAACTGTAATCATTGAAAATTGTCTGTTTGCATAATGTTTCTGTAAAATAGACAAAACATGGCATTTCTAGCATATAGGATCAGAAAACTTTAATGAAATTTACTGGTACAAAATTTAAGGGATAATAATTATAAAACTTAACTGTAAATACCAAATAAATAGAAAAGTATTTTAAATTAATAGGATTAGGATATAGCAACACAATCCTAACCTCTTAATGGCAATTGATTTTTTCAAGGGGGGAAAATCATGGCATGAGAATGACTTCTCCGGCCTGGGTGAGGCGGAAAGGAGTGTCAGACTCTTACTGACTTAAAACCACCCCATAGGTTCTCCGCAAAACAGTGGCAATGGATAAGACACGGATATAATATTTTATATTTATTATTTCACAATAATATATGCCTATTTCACAATATATCTTATTAGTCTCATTGATGTACCTTTCATATAAAAGAAAATGGAAGTCTAATTAGACATTGTGAAAACCATGAGACAGTCTCTAATTAACATACTTAATACCTACATATAGTTAGAAGTTCATAAAGTAGCTTCTTAAGAAAAGTGGAAGCTAAGAAGGTACCTATCTTATATAAGTGTAGGTACCTACTAATAACATAATATTAACAAAATTAATCTCTTACAAAAAACAAGCAAGCAATTTTATAGATACTCTACATTTATGGTACACAACTACAGATATTGACTTGCTTTCACACTAAGTGCAAGAGAGAAACCACATGCATTTTCTCCACCTAATCAGTAAGCATCGGTATCAGAATTTAAATTAATGCATTTATTACACAAATCAATAATATGTGCAACATAGTGTTCTAATAGACCTGAAATATATATAATTGGAGTAACTATTATATAGGTATAGTATATAATAAATTGGTATTTTTATTGACAGCTCACTGTAGTCGATTTTTATTTAGATAGGTATAAGTAGGTAGCTACATGTATGCAAAAATGCTTTCATTACATTTCATATTAGCACTTCTGACATCCCTTTGGTGTTATAAATTTATAGTATTTTGTTATTTAGTAGATGTGCACCTATATTATAAGTAGGTAGGTACATAGTTTTTTCTTGTTTACACGCAACATAAGGTTAGTTTGTAAGTAGGTATTTTACATTCTTTTGAATAACATCTCAAACCGATTTTTTTATATAATTTACTTTTTTCACATATGGTAGGTATTTATAAAAGTGTTTAAACTCAAAATGAATCGAGTTAACATCTAAAAATACTGACAAAATTATGTTTTGCGTTACGAGTTACGACAGCACCTATTACGTAGATATTTTTCATTGTAATGCGTAACGGCGATAAGATAAAATTAGGAAAATATGGTTACAATAAACAATGTTTAAATTTTTATCATCATGTAATTCTATTTGGCTTTATTTATCACGCTACATTGGAACAAGTATCCACTTAGAAAAAGTAGCTGCATTGGAACAAGTGGAATAGGATAACTGTACTTTCTACATTTAGAAGCAGAAAAACTAATAAGATGATGAACAAAAATTTATTTTTAAAGCTTTACCAATGAATAGAGTATTAATTTTGATGTAATTACTTATAAGATACCTACTTTTAGTCGCGTAAGATTGCCATCTCGAGCAGCGTTGAAAACGACTGTTTTGAAATCCATGATGGTTCTCTTTGCTTGGTAAAAAAATCACAAAAACTTAAAATCACTTCTGGAACAGCACTTTCTTCTGAATAAAATCATTGAAAATACACTGTAACACGACAAAACAAAGCAACCAGTCAGATTATTTTCAAAACACTTCGACACTGCAAGCTCAGTCGCCCTACAAACAGCTGCAGCGCGACGACGATCTGCCAAATCTGCCTATTTTATTATATAAAAATAACCACAGACAACGTGTCCAACTATCATAGACAATTTTTTTATTTTAAAACCAGTGTGTGGATATTTGTATTTTTGGAAATAGTATTTAGATGAATGTATATTAAAATATTGATGGAAACTAGATTTAATATTGCTATTAAAATCATATCAGTCATATCTTGTGGACTGGAGTCTTGACCATGACGCCTGTTGAACGGACAAGTGGGTGGCTCGTGTGGCGACCAGTGCTAATAAAATAAAAAAATACAGCCTGTAAACCTATACTTATAACCGTTTATATATGGCTGCACGATTGGTGCGGTGGCTGGTCAACCGTATGAAGCAATTATTTGCTTGTAGTTCTGGTCTGGATATTATATGATGTTGTAAACATTGTTGTATGTTTGTAAACGCACCCACGAAACACAGGAAATAATCATCGTATAGGGAAACTTAAAAAAATGATACGCAGAATCTGAAACGGGCACTCGTCTCTGATCAGAAGGCTTAGTCCGAGTTTGTTTTACGTTTAAAAAGACTGCCAATCAGAGCCTCAAAGAAGAATCGTCTCGTTTCGATCTCGTTAAATGTAAAACTAACTAGTACGTTAAGCCAATGTTAAGCCCTCCGATCAGTCTAGGGCCTTAGGTCACACAATAAATCGGGGCCTTTTTGGAATGTTTTCTTTAGCGTTATCTCACACCAGGATTTTCTTCTGTAACGTGGGTGCATTTACAATCATACAAGTTCAAATAAATATGACACACAGATCAAAAAAAACAAAACCCCCTCCGAGTTGTGCGACAACCGGTTGCTGTGTTCGTCGTCTAAATTATCCTCGGGGCCCCCTGAATCAAATCAAATTAAATCAAATCATTTATTCATTTGCGAACATGGGTACAAAAAAAAAGGATAGCGCCCTGGGCACGGGTCCCGAGTGCCTTTTTTATGGAATAGGAGGCAAACGAGCAGACGGATTACTTTATGGTAAGCGATCAGCGCCACCCTTGGAATGACGGTACTGATGCGGTACTGATGCGGTACTGCCTCTGAGAAGAGACACATTACATTACAGTGGCCACGTGGCTTTGTATGTCGTGGCGCCGTGGCCACGCCACACCACGCCACGACACTTTTAGCTAGTTTCTGTCTTTGATGTACTGGATGAAATTCTCGTCGATATAAATGAAGTATGAGGAGTTTATGGTTTAAGAGCCAGCAATGTATGACGTATAAAAATGACGATGTATCACAAATTCGAGAATGCCATTCTTGTGATGAATGATGATGGATGACATGACAGCCGAACAAAAATTACGGCGTGGATTTATGGTTAAAAAATTTGCGAAAATCTGTTGACTGCATCTCGAAATAGATGTTAGAAAATAATTAACCGCGTTATTGCATGGTGATTGATAGTTCTACTTACTAGTTGTTGATGTCAATATAATGACCGATAATTCAAAAGTTTCGAGGCAAAGTTTGTGCATATCATTGTCGTTAGCGCGTAAGTCGGGCTCTCCGGTGTTTGGTGTGTTATAGCAGCGGTGGACAGTGATATCTAGGAGATGGTGTCGATGGTGTTAGCAAACGGATCAAAAGAAAACTATATTTGATTGTGTATACTGGAGATATTGCAGTAGATATTTGTTAATATGTATCCAACAGCTACGCGGCACCCGGCTGCCGCGGTAAGGGTTTGTGTTGTTTTTATATCTTCACCTGCTTGTCAACATAGTATAAATATATAATTCTTTGAAGTTTTATCTTCAAAAGTTGCTTATTGAAGTAATTTTAGCTTAGACCCTATTATTGTTTGTCTCTGTTTGTTTAGGGACCTCAGCCGCCGTCAGGACCTATTAAATTTACAATAGCAGACACACTAGAGCGAATAAAAGAGGAATTCAACTTTCTTCAAGCTCAGTACCATACGTAAGTATTCTGAGTTACATATTTGCATTATGAACCTATTCTAATTTGATCAGTTTAATCCAATATCATGATCTTATCAAAAGATTAACTTAGAATTCATTGTTTACAGTTTGAAATTGGAATGTGAGAAACTGGCCAGTGAGAAGACGGAAATGCAGAGGCATTATGTTATGGTAATTAAATTTTATGTAGCCATTGATAAAGAAAGTTTATTTGTGAACAAATGTCAGTGTTAAATCAGAAACAAATAGTGATAGAGGAGAAACTAAGATATAATTATTCAAATATTGACTGTTTGCTGTAGATAATAATGTAGGCTAAGCTTAGTTGTTCTCAAATAGTTATTGAGCATGTTATGAAACCAAGTCAATAGAGATACTTTGTCAGTAATAAGTTAGGTTAAATTTGTTCTTAAGATGTAGATACTGTTTTTAACTATTTGTGGTTATTTGATTGTAAACAATGTTACTAAACTAACTTTCTGATTTAGTTCTTTACAACAAAATATAGATTTACAAGTTTGATACTACATTTTTGAGTAGTGCACTGCCTTATGACATGGCCGATACAACTTTTATGAAGACATAACAGTGTAGAACTTACAGGATGACCTAGATTTTGATTAGATATCTATAGTCTTAATATCTCTGGAAAATGTAAAACCATTGTTGAAAACAAACTAAGCAGCTTAAATTGCAATATTCAAAGTGACATAAATTTGTTTCTCTTTAATTTGAGCCATGAGTAGGTAATGAATTTGTTAAACTACTATACCTTTCATAAAAGCTAAAAGGTTCAAAAATTATTTATAATTATTTAGACCAATCTCATCCAAAGCTAGTATGTTACTAGAAGAAAAATCCTACTTCTGTTTCTTCTTTCAATTTAATATACTTAATTGAGTCTCTAAACTGAGTATTCTAAAAGTTTTTTTTCTCTTACAGTATTATGAAATGTCATATGGACTAAATGTGGAAATGCATAAACAGGTACATATTATCAAATTGCCTCTTCCTCATGGCATATATTTTATTTATAGTAATCTAATGTTTATTGTATTTATATTTACAGACAGAGATAGCGAAGAGATTAAGTGCTATTATAGGGCAGGTGCTCCCATTCTTAGCACAGGAACACCAGCAACAGGTGGCCTCTGCAGTGGAGAGAGCTAAACAAGTCACTATGTCTGAACTCAATGCCATTATTGGGGTAAGCCATCTTAATCAATATCAAACTTAATCATCAATATAACAAAAAATACATTAAATTTTTTTATATGTAATGCTTAATAGTGTTATGAATAAAATCATTACTAGTCCATTAATTATTTTGCTTATTTATTTTATTTGAATTTCTAATAATAAAGAAGGTTATTCACAGTGTAAAATTTATTTATGTATCAATCTAACTAATGCTTACAGTTTACTTAATAAATAAATAGAAAAATTGGGGGCCAATTCTCGATTTTCGCCATTTATCTCGAGTTCGACATTGTAAGTCTATCTCTATGTCTATCAAAAATATCTCTATCTCTATCAAAAAATGTCGAATTGCACAGAAATCCGTATTCTCAGTCAAAATAGAAACAAATGTCACGAAAATGTCGAGTCGAGTGAAGATAATGTTACCATTATGCAGAATCGCACGTTCCATTTTAGGTAGTTGTGAGTGAATGAATGATTTTGTCATAAAACGTTCACTAAACCTAATTATTTAAGTTAAAACGGAACGTTTAGTGCAAAAATATTTAGTTTGACAGGACAGTTCCAGTTGACTGTCTGTCAGTGTCACAATTTGGATCTGTAAGCGGTTGTTTCAAAACTTTTATAAGTTCATCATCACTCACTAGTGGGCTATTCTGTTGGACATTTTTATAATTTTCGTTTTAATATGCAGGGAGAGAAAAAATACCCTAGTGCCCAACTTATCCCGACGACGGATAGGTGCGCTGTTGCCGCCGTGTATTGGCCAGTCGCTCGCCACTTTCCAACATCTCCAAGATAAAAATATTAATAAACTCGTCCATGTTTCAAGTTTCAAGTCCAATCGTGGGTACACAAATTAAAGACCATTATTTACGCGAAGGTCGTCGTTTCAAGAAAACACAATACACAAATTAAAGAGTCTATACTGAATTTCCAATGTTCATACTTATAAGATGCCAAGCCGTATTTTACTTTAAAACGAAAGAAAAGAAAACACTGTACAATTCGAAACTCAACGAATTCACAGAAATGGCGTATCTCAGTATCTCTACAATCGACATGCCATCTCTACTGCTCAGAAGCACTCGACATGAACTCTAACGTTAGCCTTCGACAAATGTCGCATTCGACATCTCCAGAATAGCAACTTTTAAAATTTGACGAAAAAATGACGTCATTAGACATTTTTGTCGAGTTCGACATCATCTCTAAAGCCGAGAATTGGCCCCTTGTTTTGTGCTGAGAATATAATTTATGATATTCAATAAAGAAAAATTTCCTCCCACGTAATTGCTAAGATTACTTTTTCCTTGTTTTGCTCCTATTTAGCAAAAAATTTATGACTACCATCGGAGGAGTGTAGTTAATATTTATTTCTAATTTAATTTTAAACAGTACTGAACAGGTGATGAGTATTGATTCTAGAAAAGTTCCACAGAGTATTCAGAGTATTAAGAGTATCAAGAATTAAATATTAAAAAAAAAATCTCAGCTATAAAATATTCTCCTGTATGTTGGAGTAATATAACAATTACATTAATATATAATGTATTCTACTCTTTATAGTTAGGTAGATACATTAGTTGTACAATGCAGGTTTTAAAATTGATAAGACAAAGACTGCATGTATATAAAAACATGAATATTTTTAGTTAATATACATAATAATTAATATACAATGTGATGTCTGGTATAGATTGTTATGTCAAATCAGTGAAGATTTATTGGGTATAAGACTAACCAAATACATTGAAACTTGTGTTGATAGACATGTCTATGCCATACATTACGTGAGAATTACTTGTTAAGAAAGAAGTATATATATTATATGTAGCAGTTTACACTAGTTTGGTACATGTGAGGTTCATACAGTTGGTATGTCAGCGTATATATTGTAACTGTTGTCCGCAGCAACAACAACAGCAGGGCCTGCAGCAACTGCTTGTAAGTCAACATATACAGTGCTTGGTACATTGATTATATGTTGTGATTAACATTTGCATTATTTTATGTTGCCACTTTTGATTACTTTACAAAATTACACAAAATTTTTTCATGTCAGCTTTTGCATTCTCATCTTACACTTTAAATTATACGAAATTCTTTGTTTGGATATTTTTGGAGGTATTAACGGGATTCTGTATGTCAGTGGTGGACTAACTATGACCTGCATCATATTTCTAGTCCATGAGAGGAATTAATTCACCCTGGTGGATAGTCCTCTGAAATGGAAACATGCAGTAGATGCTCCACGATCATTTTATAAATAACAGATTAGTTATCATTGGTAAAGGTACCATTTAGAATTCAGGCAAATAATCCATTGTCTTTGTAGCTGTGCACTGTTTTTTGTGATTATTTTATCCTCTGTCAAGAGGGTTTGCCCACAACTGATGTAGATGGTGATAGTAAGCATAAATAATAATCAAAAGAATTTAATTGATTTGGTGTGGGTCTTAATCCATAAATGGAATTGACGAATAAAAGAACAGAAGTATTCATATGGTGTAATCATTATCATGGGTGTCTGAGTGTCATAAGTCAAGTATCATTATATAATTATATATTTAAAATACCGAATCCACAATCAACACAACTATGTCTAATCATACAGTTATACACCGACGTTATTATTACGCCACTGTATGTATGTATGTATATGTATAAATTAATCGCAATATAGCGGTACCAATCAAGAGAATGCACAAGCTAACATAAACGAGTGACCATTTAACATAAGTTATGTCGCAGTAATTGGAAAAACTAATTGGACTTCAATGTTTTATAATCACACCTCTAACTTCACGTTTTCATTGTATGCAAGCACACAAGTACCGCGTAGCTGTTGCATCTAACATGCAATTAGTGCTTTATGATGTGTACGCCATTATTTCAATAAACATTCAGTTTTTTTTATTTCTCGTTATTATCACCACGATTTATGTATCGCCATAGTTGCTAAAGAAATCTTTGTTGTCGTGTTTAGTATTATTATGATTTAATATTCATCTTAGTGAGACATGCTAGTTATGTTAGTTGTGTACATAACATTGTGCTAATATTTTGATAAATATCTATTTTATAAACATTTTAGTCACATAAAACGTGTTTTATATTTGTTTTAGTTAAATGTTAACCTTGAATAAGTTTTAAATTTATAATTAGCGTACTAAAGTGTAATTTAGTTTGTAATAAATTAATCAATTAGCTAGCATTAATTAGTTTATTAGTAGTTATTACGAAGTTTTAATTAATTTCATGCACACGCTTAATCACTAATTAATTAGAAATATACTTCTTAAATCTAAAATACAAATTATAATATTTTACAAGTAGATCTTTGCTTTATCTTTGTGTTAACATTTTATTATTCGTGTACTTGATTTTTCTAGACATTTTTGTTCGTAATAGACCTAGCTAGTTGCAAATTTAATAATCTTATTGTAGAGATCTTCTATTTAAAGAAATATTATAGATTTTATAGTATAGTTTAGTTTTTCTCAGCAATAAGTAAATTAGAATATGATGTTCATTTTACCACTATGGTACAAGAACAGTAATTTTACCAAAGGTATGCTGTTTAATGCCACCAAAAATAAAACTACAAATACCACATAATACTAGGACCAAGCTTGATTAGAAATGTAAATTCCATTCTATTTTTGCAGTAGTGACATTATACCAACCATCACACTATACAGATGCATGATAATAATAATAATGGGTCAATGAAATATTCTCAATGTGGGCGTCCATAAACACATAATAGGATATTGGTGTCATTTATATTAATATGGTTATCTTCATTCAACATGCATGTTATTGTGAAATTAGGTTTATTAGTCAATTTTGTAATTTTTTCCTTATTAATTGCCCGTTTGTGTATGAAGCGTATAATAATTCGTGGGTTGGATGAGAGAAAAGTGAGCACACAAAGTCAGCCAAGTTATTTGATATGCAGGTAAGAAAATAAAGATTGATTCAGTACAGAGACAGTACCAGTAACCAGTGGTTAGTTATTGAACCGAACGATGATCAAAAAACATGGAATTATCAAAAAGTATAGCGACATCTGTCTTGAAACTACCTTAATTTTTTACCTGTATAACAAAATATGATTGTCTATTCCACACGTGAAGTGTATAAGATGTTTATTACTTTCACTGAAATAAACTGTTTTAGTTAATTTTCTTAATATGCCTATTTTATTTAGTAAAAGGGAATAAACAAGTTACGAGTTGTTAAGTTACTATACGCTTACAATACGACGTCGTGTGCACACGGGCATAATTGTTACAATGGACAAGCTGTTGATAGTACATTAAAACGATCTAATAATTAGGTATTTAATACGGATGATGACTAACATTTCTTTAAGGATCTGATAGATGAATGAAAAATATTATACCTAACAATAAATATTGGTAAAGGTCAAAGACGGTTCATCGATTTAAAATCTTTCTCGATATCACGCCGCAGTATATTTTATTTTGCGCGATGACATTGCCAGCTCTAACTTAAATTTGATTTTTTAGTTATCATCTCTTTTATGGAGTTGCAATATACATACATAATGGCTTATTATAATATAAATGTTTCTTGTAGCAGCAAATCCACGCAAGTGCGGGCCTGTCGCACGGGGTCGGCGGGGTCGGGGGCGCGGGCGGGCTGCTGGGGGCCGGGGGGCTGCTGTTCGCACCGGGGGGCGGGCCCCCACCCCCGCCACATCTACCCCCACCCGCACATAAGGTATGAACCGCTATGGTTTATTTTAAAACTACATTTTTGGATGTCAAAAAGTGTCTATTAGTCTGTCCATAATTTTATTTAGATATGTATATATAGGGGAGAAATAAATATCATTATATTATGAATAATAACTGGAAGACAGACTTTGATAAGGGTATTTTTATTACAAATCAATCAAATTACTGATCATTGGTTGGTTGGTTGGTTCAAATCTTAACATATACAAGCTGTAATAAATTTCTTATTTTATTTGATCATTTTCAACTTTATTGTTCTGTAATAGAGTTGTGTGCTGTCTATATTATACTAATTTGACATTGTTCAGGTGGAGCTCCCCCCTCCGGCGGACATAAAGCCTCCAGTCCTGCCGGGCGGGCCGGCGCCGCCCGCCCTGCTGCCCGGCCAGCCACCGCCCAGAGACGACGACAGGCTCAGCTCTAGGGTGCTACAACAGGTATTATTTATTTAATTTTATTTTGTAGAACAACTTAAAACTATTATAAACTTCGCATTCGACATGGTAACATCACAACGGTACAAAGTCAGACGATATTAACTGCTCTGATGGAAACACGTGGATATATTTTATGATAACATGGAGATCGATTTGATTGGTTTTAGCATAGTGTTGAAAGTCTAGGGATGGCTTAAAGGCGAGTGACCTTTAAAATTCCTGTGTGCAAAAAAAACGGTAATATAATATGATCATAATCATTATTTCAGTTGTTTGATAGTCAGAGTGCAATATGTTTAAATTAATAAATAAATAAAAAGTCGCAAATACTTACATGATATTGATATAGTTGTTGGAAAACATACATTGAAACAACTGATGAAAAACAAACAAATAATGGACCATGGTATTATTCACTTAATCAATTGAATATAGGCTTTGTGCTGTATTATTATTTAAAATGCAGTATGATAATAATACAAATGAAGATATGATAAATATGATGTATATGTATATGCGCTGGTCATTGCCGGTCTAGTTTCTAATGACAAGTGGGTTAGATGTATTAAGAATGAATTTAATGATATCAGTATCATCAACAGTCTAAATTATTCGACTGCTGGCTGAACTGAGAACAAAGGTAACTATACCTGTTAATTATTAAAAAAAAAAGAAAACGTGGTCCTGCTGTACGACTTGGGGGATTGCAAATGGGCCAATCAAATTTTTTGGGTAGCTATCATATAACTGACAAATATATAATACTAGCGACCCGCCACGGCTTCGTACGAGTGCAATATGCATGTATTATACATACAAACCTTCCTTAAGAATCACTCTATCTATTAAAAATCCGTTGCGTAGTTTTAAAGATCTAAGCATACATAGGGACAGACAAACAGATAGCGACTATGTTTTATACTATGTAGTGAAGAGGTTTAACTTAATTGATGATATTTTCTATTCACAAACATAACATATTTATTGTTAAAGCAAAGGAGATCGGTATCCCCTCACGAACGCGAGCAGAAGTACCGGCCGCGCTCGCCGGTCGAGCCGGAGGCGCTGGACGTGAAGCGGAGAAAGGAGGAGAAGGTACTCGGTCATGTGAGTTTATGTAGTGTATGTGTCGGCTTCTATTTCATACACGTTGCTTTTCTCACTGTTTTACTCGTCTACCGTTTAGTCGGTTGTTGCTGGGCTAAAATATAATTTTACCTGTGTTTACCGTCTCTTAGTGGTTAGGTCTTTCTTGTAATTTTGCGGTTTTCGCGCAGTGTTTGTGGTTAGTGTTTATCCTTCCATTTTGTTTATTTTATTATCTGTTATCGAAATTTCTCTTTCGTGTTACGGGCGCCAATATTTGTTTAATAAATGACTCATTACTATTTTCTAAAAATACATGGTCGTCTTTCCTCGTAGCAGAACGTAACAGTAAACCAGCAGAAACCGTCTGTCCCGACTGCTTGTTTAAACAGATGCTTTGTAAGACATGTTGCTGGTAACTATGGCTGGAACAATACCCGTAAATTAATGTTATTGCTGTTTTCTTAAGCAATATATTAGTAAATATTAGTATTAATTGTTCAATTACATTTCTAGGACAGCGATGCTGAAAAAAGTGATCAAGATCTTGTTGTTGATGTGGCTAATGAGGTAAGATGGGTAACGACTTAGTATTCTGTTACCGCACAGATCTCACGACTTCAAGGTTGAGAATGCTATTCTGAATGTTTTCCCTGTTTTTGTTTGCAGTACATATGTCTAATAATAGTTGTTTGTAACATTGTGCATGTTTAATGAATGCCAGTATGCCTTTTTGTGTTTTTATGAATTGAGTGTTCAGATTTTGCTGCCATTTTGTAGTGTAAACAAGTACAAAGTATTGACTGTTGTCTTACAATTCGATTGTTCAATTATTTATATTTTTGTTTAATTCTTTAGCTCTCTGTAAAACCAATAAAATAAATTGTGTTGAATAATGCAATTTCGTTTCAATTATGTTTTGTCATAAATATAGTTTTTACGAAACACAATTTACATAATTTCTAATAACCTCTTTTATGTAACAAATATAAGTTAAACTGAAGTTAGTATGACCGTGTTAAGCTTTTTACTATATTGTTAGAACAAATCCGTAATCATATTTACATCTCTACTTATTTCTCCAACGAAAAACAGGCATGGTGTTTATGTAGAAAAAGCTTTATATTGTGTTTTTATCTGTATTTGATAGTTAATATAATATGTTGTAATTGTGATGTAGGAGGAAAGAGGGTCACCGAGTGTTCGTACTGAGGGTGGGGAGAGAACAGAGAATGGTCCGCGGCCTCCTTCGAGGTCTGGCTCCTCGTCCAGTCGCTCCACACCGAAGAGTTCCAAAGACGTGAGTTGGTTGCATTCGGATTATTCCTGTATTGAATGTCGTTACCTGTTATATTGTGACGTTGTCGTGATTTTATGGGAGAAAATGGTTTCTCGAGTTTACTTCCTGAGTTGGAATAAGTAATGTATTTATATTTCAATGAAAATTCTCACAACGACTGGAAGTGGGTACTCTACTTTTTTGGGCGAATATAAAAGCTGATGCAATATAATGTTCGATATAGGAGAAGCCGGGCACGCCAGGCGGTAAGTTAGCTCGCGCGCCGACGCCGACGGGCGGTCGTGGCGGCGCGTACCCGTTCCCGCCGTACGCCGCCTACAGGGCGGCCGCGCCCGCGCCGCCGCTACCCATGCACTACGATCAACATCACAGGACCAATGGGATCGCGCCCACTAAACCGTGAGTATATCAAAAACATATTAACTGCTTTTTGTCAGGATAGTAATGAAAGTTAAATAAAATTTTTACAAAGTTCATTCTATAGAATAGGTAGTTATATTTAGTGAGATAAATACAATAGATTATAAACGAATTCGACGTGTACAAAATAAATTATGCAACTGCAGCCGGGAAGCTTATAGACAGCTATAAGCTTCATACATAAAACTTGCTAATATACAGATATTAGCAAGTTTTATGTATGAAATAGGTATGATGATATTGACGTGTGTATTTATCGTCCGCGTACAGCGCGTACTCGTACCACTCGTGCGGCGGGCCGCTGCAGCCGGTGGGGTTCCCCGCGGACGCGCTGGGCGGCGCGGGCGTGCCGCGGGGCGCGCGCGCGGTGGCGGCGCTGCCGCACGGCGAGGTGGTGTGCGCCGTGGCGCTGTCGCAGGCCGGCGCCGCGCGACACGCCTACACCGGCGGCAAGGGATGCGTCAAGCTCTGGGACATATCCAACCCGGGCTCTCCCGCCGCCCTCGAGCCGCTGTCGCAACTCGATTGTTTGGTAAGTCTCGTTCATGTATTAATGTCGGTCTTGATTGTCATACCAAACAAGGCACCGAATAACACAAGCACATAAATATGACAGAATATCGAAGCTTTTACAAAATATTAAAGATTTTTTCTTGTGTGTGTGTGTGAGCGCTTTTCATTGTAATATTAATACAAACAAAAAAAAATATGCAATTGTTTGTATTTTCTTTACAATAAAAATATTGAACACATTATCATTTTGTGTTCCAGCAAAGAGACAACTACATCCGATCAGTGAAGCTCCTGCCGGACGGCCGCACGCTGATAGTGGGCGGCGAGGCGTCCAACCTGTCTATATGGGACCTCGCCTCGCCCACGCCGCGCATGCGCGCCGAGCTCACCTCCTCCGCGCCCGCGTGTTACGCGCTGGCTATCAGTCCAGACTCCAAGGTACGTTAGGTTTCTAAATCAACATCAATTTTCTAAATTTGATAAGTTGTGTGTTAAGATAGTTACAAAATACGTTACGGTAAAAATGTGGTAAAATATAATAGTAATGTTGTGTTTTATTGTACAGGTGTGCTTCAGTTGTTGTTCAGATGGCAACATAGCGGTGTGGGATCTTCAGAACCAAACATTAGTTAGACAATTCCAAGGTATGTCACTGTACAACTAGTCCTATATCTCACATTCAATTCCATTTCAAGATCGAGTTAAAAATATTATAGTTTTCGATTTTTAAAAATTGGGTACTTACCAATTAGTCAAATTCAATACTGTTATCGAATTGACAAAAACGATAGATTCCAACAATCATACTTATTTTTTTAAAAATTGTTGAAATATACTAAAATAAAGTTGGCCATAAAAAGCAATTAATAAAAGTGTGATTTTATTGTATTGAACAGTCGAAATAATTTAGTATTGATTGGGTACTTGACCCAATTCTGATTAATATAATAAATTATTATATGTGTATGAGACATAATAAATTAACGCCTTACTCACATGAATAAATTGAGAAAAGCTCTTCGAGTTTCAAGCCACAATCAGTTGGCTGCACGACATCGCTGGTCATGAATAAGACGTTAACATAGAGTTGTACGTCCGCAGGGCACACGGACGGCGCGTCGTGCATCGACATCAGTGGCGACGGCACGCGTCTGTGGACGGGCGGGCTCGACAACACGGTGCGCTCCTGGGACCTCCGCGAGGGACGACAACTGCACCAACACGACTTCTCCAGTCAGATCTTCTCGCTCGGATATTGCCCCACTGGTAATCGAATCATTTTCCACTGAACAAACATTTACATACAATTTATTTATGGAATTTTGTCAGATCAAAAATTTACTAATTACGATATTGAGACTGCATGTATTTCTATTTCATTGAAATCTCGATGGAATAAATAAATAACTTCACTACAAGACTGACTGACAAACATAAATTATGTTGTTTGATTTTCAAAAGTTACTGTAATTAAAATAAATTTCCTCTGTCCAGGTTCGTGGTTGGCGGTGGGCATGGAGAACTCCCACGTGGAAGTCCTGCACGCGGGCAAGCCGGACCGCTACCAGTTACTGCTGCACGAGTCGTGCGTGCTGTCGCTCAAGTTCGCGGCCGCGGGGAAGTGGTTCGTCTCCACCGGGAAGGATAACCTACTTAATGCGTGGCGCACTCCTTATGGAGCTAGTATATTCCAGGTATGTTGAATGACATCATCTCTTGTTACCTTTATTCTTATTTAGGACTACTACAACTACTAGTTTAACTTTTTACGATTATACAGTTCCCTCTCTTCACATTATGAATTATTCTATGAAATGCTCTTGTAGAGCATGTGATCTGGTTGTCAAAGAAATGGAAGTTTGGCTTCTGTTGTGAATGTATTGTAATTTTTGTTATTTATTTATTTTCAGTCTAAGGAGTCGTCATCGGTGCTCAGTTGTGATATATCGGCGGACGATAAGTTCATAGTGACGGGTTCTGGTGACAAAAAGGCGACTGTCTACGAAGTGATGTACTGAAGTGTCAGTGTCAGTAATCTCATAAGTCATAGGCAATAAATGAACGTTGTTCGAGGTCCAGTGCGAAGTGAGAGCGGTTTTATATCAAACTTCGGTTGGCTGTACACATTGTTATTGTTTTATTATGTATATTAAAGTTTATTGGACCGATACGTCGGTAGTTATCGTGGAGAAATGACCAAGAACCTTATACACGAAGATACGAATATGAAACAACATATCTACAACATTATACAAGATTTGAAGTTTGTAAGAGTTAATTAAACATTTGTTTAACATTCTGTTGTATCTTGTGTATAAATTTCTTGGTCTAATGTAAGATATTGTATTATAATGGTTAGAAGAGAAAAATGCCTGTGTATGCTTGTGACATTCTGGACATAACAGTCCAGTAATAATAGTTTAACATCAGTCAGACTGCTGTCGTGAGTTCCTAGCTAAATTGTGTTCCTTATGTTGTCAAGAAATTCCTTTTACATGTGGTAACAAAGCAATAAAGGCTGTCGAAATATTTTTACAACTAACATACGCCAAGACAGCCATTTCGATCTCAAAATTATTTGGTATTAAGATAGTATTGCAAACAGCAAAATAAGTAATAAGTATTAAATTCAGCAATATAAAGACTTCCAGCATTTTTGTATAGTGTAAGTAACAATGTGTACAGTTAACTAAACATGGTTGAATTAAGTGTAATTTTAAAGTAACAAATAGATCAATGTTGCACCGTTAAACATGGATATTTTTAGTGTTATTATATATTTTTATAATGAAATAAGAAAATAATTTTATTAATTTTCCAAGTTGAAACTTGTTTCGTGAATGGTCCATTTATTACGAGTATTTATTTTATTATCTGACTTTAAGTTGTTTCAGACTGATATTCTGAGTAATTGACGAGTTGGTTATATTATTATGCGTCTTGTATTAAGTCAGTTTTTATAATTTCTTTGTTTATTTGACGACTATCGTCAAATTACGCACACTTTCGCTTTGCATTTTATCTCTATGTGGGGCCAATGTTGGCCCCAATCGTGTTCCTAATGTATGATAGTTAAGGGCGTCAACTCGTTTAGAGTACGAACAATGTACAAATATGATGGCCCTAACATTGGCTCCAAAATGGAGTGTTTGTGTATAAATAAAAGATAGTGCCTGTTCAAACATTTCATATTGAGTAGAAAAATGTGCTTTACACTTTTAGGTGAACAAGTTTTTAATCAAGATGAAGTTTCTTTAATAAGTATTGTTGAGATTTATAACACGTGTGGTGGGAAATAAAGAGCGGTTTTCGGAAGTATTTTTTTAATATGTTTCAACTAAAGTTAGTTGGATGAGTTCATTCGGAGAGGACATTATTTTCCTTATTTAATTCACTCTAAAAGTGGACTGGGAAAAAGGGAAAATTATGTTATAATTCAGAGTTCAGACTGTTTATAAAAATAGTTATTTCCATCAAAATTCTTGCAATACATAATGGATTAAAAAGTTTGATTTCTATAATCCGACTGAAATTTTTATATCAAAGTATATTTTTATTGTACTTAAAAGTTTATACAAATTGAATCTTTAAATATGAATTTCATTAAAATAATGATCTGCGAAATGTGATATTATTTCTTCAATGACTTAAGTGTACCGAGTATGCGTCATCAGATTGATTACAAACATTTAATTGTTATTTTACTGCAAAATTGAATCGTATTATGTACTTTGATTATATTTATTATTTCGATACATAAGTGTTTTATTTTCTATTTCTATTTTTGTTATCTAGAAATCTAGGAGTTGGTATGAATGAATTAGCTCAAGTACATTCAACGATAGATTTATCTGTTTGAACTGTAGTAAGCTGAAATAAAGTCACACTTTTTGAAATCCTCTGAGATAGCAGTTCATTAGTTATTATTGTATGTCGCGCAAAGCATTAAGCATTCATGGTTTTTTTACCCGACCAGACAATGAAACCCAAGATCTCTTGTAAGAAAACCTTATATTGGAGAAAATAGTGTAATAGTCTCATAGTAGTAATAATGGTATCTTCGTTCAACCTTATGAGCAGTACCGTCTTTACCATATGGGCACTCGGGGCCCGTGCCCAAAGGCCTCATGCTCATGGGGCCCCGGAGGACACACGTTGCGCTGTAACATTTGTACATGAATTGAAACACTCCACTAGAATTTTCACCTGTATTGTTGGTGGAATGTTAATAAAAAGGAAATATTCCAACATTGTGTTCCCATGGGCCCCAGCTTAGTCTAACACGGCCCTATTTATGAGGTAGGTGGTTTAGTTAGAAGTGTGTAATTTGTAAATTAATAAGTGTTGTAAACGGTGCCTTTTTGTTTGTTTTTGTTATTCTTATTCTACAAAATTAATTAATTATTTTTAGACGAATATGGTAAATATTTTTGACAATTGACAGTTTGACACCGTTGACATTGACATTGTTGACAACGGCTGTGTTGGCATTTTGGCAACCAAAATAATCCATTTGTTTACATTTTTCCGAAAAAATAAAGAATTAAAGAATAGCGCCGAAAATAAAATAACTTACTCCGCTAGTGATCGTTATGTAAAATAATTGGAAACTTATTGTTATTAGACGTCGACTGTTGAGCCAGCAAAATGTCTCAACCTAACCTATTGGACATAGTTCCTGATCAATTGTTTCAAGCGCATTATATTAGTGATATAGACCAGGTACAAAAGAAATTGCAATATGAGATTGAAAGGAAACGAGAAGAATTGCGGGCCATGGTTGGGTAAGTGTCATGAAGAACATAATATTTAATGTTGTTTGGAGTTATATTTGTTCTTGTTTTTCTCACTTTTCAAATAGATATTTTACCTAATAGCAAAGCACAAATGTTATCTTTGAGTTTATCAAAATAGTCATCTAGTTACTATTTTACTTCTCACATTTTCATATATCTATAAACATTGTTGATCATATGTATAGTTTCGGTATCTAATACAAAACATAATTGTGATGATTTCAGAGAAAGGTACAGAGACCTCATCCACGCAGCTGATACAATTGAAGAGATGAAGGAAACCACTGGTAGTACTCTGAACCATATTACAGAGATGATGACGGCCTGCAAAAACTTGCACAGCACGAATTTAGGTGGATTTAAAGTTGATGACAAACTTTCAAGACCTCAAAAGTAAGTAGTCAAGTGCTTTTATTTAATAATAAAATGTTGCCCCTCACTAGGATTTTCTCCAGTGTTGTGGGTGCGTTTACAATCATACAAGTTCACATACACATGACACCCAGATGCGGAACAAGAATCTGTAAATCACACAAAGAGTTATTCCGTGCGGGAATCGAACCTGCAACACCTTGCGCGGCAGCCAAGTGCGCAGCCACAGTGCCAACCGTGCAGTTAATTTTGTTTTTCTTGTCCTTTACTTGTTACCCTCCATAGTTTCGCGGCTCCTATTCATTAGTAGGGTCATGTTCTAAAGCCATCCTCGATAAATGAACTATCCAACACAAAAAGATTTATTCAAATCGAACCAGTAGTTCTTGAGATTAGCACGCTCAAAAAAAGACAATCTTCAGTTTTATATATTTAAAAAGTATAGATCAATCGACTTCAAGGTGTCTGATCCATTTGTCTATAGTTTTCAGTTCAATGTGAACCCAATGCACAGTTTGTCTGTACAAGTGAAGCTGTTGATGGAAATCCCTGAGAAAATTTGGACTAGTATTGAATCCGAGGACTATGTGAAAGCTACACAGCTATTTATAATGGCCAGGCACATTAATACAGGTAATATATTGTAAACTTATTAGTGTAAAATCGAAAAAGACCAAATGGTATAATGGCAACACATATCACATGTCAAATGACAGCTCGCGCACATAGACTATTGATGAAAAACAAGTCAACAGATGATATGTGGAGTTTACATGCGAATACACTGATAGAAAATCCTAACGAAAAACTGTTGGGCAGAAAGCTCGCCAGGCAGGAACACTTTGCCTGATTGGAAGATCCTCCTTTTCCGATCTTAGGGAACTTTACTCTCTGTTCCCTATAGTAAAAAGTATGTAGGATATGATAGACAGTAAAATGTTAGTGTGCACTCATTGTAGTATTTATTCTTTAATACCTAATTGTATAGAGTTAAGTAACTACAATTTAACTCGTTGAGTATCGTCATTATAGACACAATTAAAGAACAATAGGTTGCGGTCACCGGTGACCGATTGGTGTTTGACAGTTTAATTGATACTGACAATGATGATCATGTTGCTAATGTTGTCAAGTACAAAATGTCAATGTGTAATTATTTATTTGGCAGGTCTCCAACTCCAAATAGGAGGCAAGAATGTGAAGCCCGGTATGCAGTCCCTGCAGAGACTGGTCCAGCAACAGTGGAACTCCATAGCTAACTTCAATCAAACCATTATAGATGAGTGCCGGCAGAAGCTACAGGATGTTGAGATTAGTGTAGAGGTATACCATGTTATTATTATTGAGTTTTTAGTTTTAGTCTTGATCACATCAATCATAACAGAGTTTCACTGAATATCACCTAAACGCCAGTTACTAGAAGATTATCATTAGGGTAGTTGCCAGGGCATGAAAATTAAAAATCTAATTAGTCCGTCATAATGAGAAAATACAATACATATAGTTTTTAATTTTTTCGTAAAATTTACAATAGTTATAGGTATATATGGCATTAAGTCTATAAGGAGTATGAGGTTGTTACGTTACACCGTGTTACAAAATGTAGCACGCTATGACGTCACACGTATCGTCGAAAGTATTTAAATATGTGAGAAATTTAAAATTCGTGCCTAATGTTTTAAATTAATCTACCAGGCAGACATTAAAATAAAATTTAGGAAACTACCCTATTACTTTGCTGGCCTTTGGAAGAGATTTTAGGCCCCTGATAATCACATTTTTACGATTTACTCTTCAGCGGGTGTGAAGCAAAGCAAACTTTATATTACGTCGGCTGTCCGTGAGGCTTT